CACGCTCTATATAATAAATTGTGAGTGGGATGGGGGTGATTAGAGAGGTGAGAAACTGACACAAAGCACTTAGTAAATAGAAGGCTTTTAAAAAATCTATTTTATTTGGGTGCTGCAATGCTCGATTAGGCTATGATGAAGCTTTCGAGAGCTGGGAAGGATTTGAAGGGAAAACGAGCCAGAGACACCATGTCTCACCTACATTTTTGTGTGTGTGTTTTTATTGTTGAGGTTTGGCTTTCAAAGATTCAGAGCCTGTATCTGGGGATCTCCCAAACTAGTTTATTATTGCTGTGGAAAAAACTGTTCTGGGGTGGAAATTGCCCTAATCAGGAGAAAAGAGTATGTTTGCCCAGTGTCTCCAGAGGAGGGCTCAGCGTAACTACTGTGACCTTCTCAGATGCAATCACCATCATCACCCTTAAAAGGGTGTTTGGTTCTGTTTTGTTTTGTTTGAGTTTAAGTGATCTCATAAAGCAGAGGACGTAATTGCCTCGTTTGTAGTTCATAAATAATATCTGGCAAAATACATGAAGAGTTTGGGCTGCAGGTGAATGAATATTAAAAGGAAATGAAGTTTGAAAGGAAACTAAAATCTATTTCTGGAATGATTCACATTTTCCAATATGACTTATCTTATGTTGGAAATGTCTTTGAAAGAATTTATAAAGTTGCATTAAAATGTAGAAAAATTCCTCTTAAGATAACTTCTTTTAAAAACTTATTTTACAACTTATTAAAAAAATAAAATAAAAAGCAAAGTCCGTAGACCTTGGGAAGGTTTAAAGCCAGTCTATCCTGAAAATCAAATACTTAAAAAATGCTTCGATAACTTTATTTTCTCTTGGCTTATGTTCTCTTTTCTTTACTCTTGACTGGGATCAGATGTAATATGAAAAAAAGCTTATTAAAAATTTAATTTGGTTTTGTAGGGTTTTATGATTCAACGTTTCTTCATCCTTTATCAGAAGAAAGTCACTCAAGTTCAGAATCAGCAGTTCCTGATTTGGAACCCAGACACTTACTTACTTTTCTCAAGTTACCGGAAATAACTAAAGAATAATATATTTTCCTCATGTATTTTCTTCAAAACTTCCGACATTACACATTCAGATTCTAAATTTCTGATTGACTAATACCTTTGCTATCTGCCTTTTTTTAAAGATGTTTTTGATGTGGACTATTTTTAAAGTCTTTATTGAATTTGTTACAGTATCGCTTCTGTTTTATGTTTTGGTTTTTTGGCGGCGAGGCCTGTGGGATCTGAGCTCCCCGACCAGGGATCAAACCCGCAACCCCTGCATTGGAAGGCAAAGTCTTAACCACTGGACCACCGGGGAAGTCCTGCTGTGTGCCTTTTAAAAACGACGTTATTTTATGTTTGCTGTTGTTTATATTTCCCACATTTCAGTATTTGTTGAGCTCTTTTTCTACTAGAAAAGTGCCCAAACTATATTGTTTTCCAGTTTTTTTCTCTCTACAAACAAGGCAGAAAATTGTGGTTTGTTTTAAGGTTTGTCCTTTACAAAGTAAGGTAAGAGAGAATAAATGGATATAAATTACTTTTGAGCTTAGAAAATAACTTTTAACTCTTAAGCACGGAGCTTTTTTTTTTTTTTTTGTCTGAAATCTGGAACTGAATGAAGCATGTGGACTTCCTTTATGATAACAAACCACAGCCCAGCTGCTGGATGAGCAAATGAAATTTCCAAGTCAGCTTTTAATCATTATCTGTTTGCCCTTTTCTAGATTTTTTCTGGTTTTTCTGCCTTTCACTGGCCTCTCTACCCCTTCCCCCCACAACACTATACAGTCTTAGCCTTCCGCTGTTTCGCAGGCCTTCGTCTTTCTCAATGGGCAGAATATATTTCAGCCCTGCCACTCAGCACAGATCAATTCAGCATACAGCAACACATCTCAATATCTCCATCTCTGCCAAGTCCAATCCCCCTTAAACATCTAACTCTAAGCTTCAAATAATTAAACCCCTATCTTGCTTAACAACTTTAATTTATCCTTGAAAATGCTTCTGCTAAGTGAAAAGCCATAAAATGAAAACATTTTACATTCATTTTAATTGGAAAAATTACAAATTCCATCTTAGCCCAAGATACCCAAATACTTTTTGCAGATAGAAAAATATATCACGAAATAATGCCATTTGCAGCAACATGGATGGACCTAGAGATTGTCGCACTGAGTGAAGTAAGTCAGACAGAGAAAGGCAAATATATGAAAATCGCTTATATGTGGAATCTAAAAAAAGGGTACAAATGAACTTATTTACAAAACGGAAATAGAGTTACAGATGTAAAAACAAACTTATGATTACCAGGGTGTAAGGGGAGGGAGGGATAAATTAGGAGATTGGGATTGACATATACACACTACTACATATAAAATAGATAACTAATAAGGACCTACTGTATAGCACAGGAAACTCTACTCTGTGATGGCCTATATGGGAAAGGAATCTAAAAAATAGTGGATATAAGTATATGTATAAATGATTCACTTTGCTGTACACTTGAAACTAACACAACATTGTAAATCAACTATACTCCAATAAAAATTAAAATATATATCAATTGACTGATAAAGACAAGTTTATATAAGTAATAATTTGGAATTACATAATTACAACAGTTACATAAACTGTAATGGCATGAATGCTTCCTTTACTCATTATTTTTTCTGTACCATTAAAAAAAAAACAGTTTTATTGAGATACAGAGTGTACAATTCAGTGGTTTTTAAGTATATTCAGAGTTTCTGTACCATTCTTAACTTTTTCAAGCTTTTCGGGTCTCATGGTCTTCTGGCATGCAAAATGCACTTAATGAAGTTATAACACAGAAAAGCACTTTTGGGCAAATTAAAGGCTAAACATGAGAGTGTTTCTGAACACCTAGTAGCACACACACAACACAGATGCAAGAGTCCTAAAAACTGCTGCCTCTTCTGCCTCCATTCAAATAAGTAGCATGATTTCAATTTGGCTCATGTGATGTTCTCTGACAAGAAACTTGTGTGGAGTAAACGGGAGGTGCATCTCTGCCTGAAGCCGTGATGTGGAACTTTCACTTCTTATGGCATATTTATTTAATGTGTTTGGGTGAACAGGTTGTTATTTTAAAAAACTAATTATTGACAAACATATGGTGTAACTTTCCAAGAACCTAGTGAAGAGCTAACAGAACAGTTGGTACATGAGCTAAGTGTGTAATTTTAACAGCTGCTAGATAAATGCACGTTGTGTTGTTTTCTATATTTCTCAAAAATGGGACACTAAATTATGGGAAAGGGATTCCAGTTAAAAATGGCATTTAGAGAGAGACAGAGAGGAGATTGAGGGAGATTGAGATTTGTTGAATTTCATATCTAATGCTAAGGGTACTTCAGAAAACACCATTTCATTCTTTACAAAAGGAAAGAAGGATGAGAAATACGAGTAAAACTTTTTTTTCCCTTGGGAAAAAAAAAGCAATTGGTAAGATTAAAAAACCTGAATTTTACTTTTTACAATCACAAGAAGATGAAACGATACATCCATGTAGCAAAAGACATGATAAAAAGAAGAAACCTACAATAAAGCCCAAAAAACAGAAATTATGACCCGTGAATATACATTTAACAGAGTGAAAACAAACACAGCAGCGTAATCCCAGCTCTGTGTCTGTCAGCAAAATCACATGTACAACAGTGAAGTGACGAAGGTTTTATTTTTCAGAGGAGGAAGCTGAGGCTAAGAAATTCAGTAACTTGCCCAAAGTTATGCCCAAAATCCATATAAAATTCAAAACCACAGTTCAGTTAGTGTCAATTAGTTTTTTTGTTGCTGGCTTCTACTCAAAGCAGATATGTGTATATTTCTTTGGTCCTGATACAAAATTTAAATCGCTCATAAAATGTTTTAGTGTCCATAAAGGTGAGTATCAAAAGAGTATTAAAATATACTTAGTTTTCATAATGGAGCATTATTGTAATTCTAGAACTGCTTGTTGTTAATTTTCCTGCCTGACTGAAAACAGACACAGAAGATGGTGGAAAGCCGATTAACATTAATGGCACACTGCATTTGGAAGATTGAAAGCCACGGCTGCCAATATGTGAATTTGTGTCTTATGTTAAGAAAAAGGGTCCAACATTTATGAAGAAGGCAAAAGGAGGATTGCATAGCCTTTCAGTATCATACTGAGCACAGCCTAACAGACCTACCCACGATCTGTTTAAATTCTCCAGGGTTGCGTCTTTCTTTTATTTCCTATTTACTCTTGATTAGGGCCTGGACCCTGTGAGATTACACATAACTTGAAGATTTTTTTTTTTTTTTTTTTTTTTGCGGTACGCGGGCCTCTCACTGTTGTGGCCTCTCCCGTTGCGGAGCACAGGCTCCGGATGCGCAGGCTCAGCGGCCATGGCTCACGGGCCCAGCCGCTCCGCGGCATGTGGGAGCCTCCCGGATCGGGGCACGAACCCGTGTCCCCTGCGTCGGCAGGCGGACTCTCAACCACTGCGCCATCAGGGAAGCCCTAACTTGAAGATTTTTGTCCAGAGGAGATGCAAATGATTTTAGCCTGGTAGAAATGATAACCCCAAATTTTATGGTTTTTATGGCCCGGAGGACATTAACCAGTTTTGATTTTAACCCAGTAACTTTATTCCCAGGTAAAATTGGGACCTTCCTCATTGACTATAACTACTCAGTGCCTCAAAGGCTCTCATCCTGGTGGGTCTCTGGTTCTTCAGTTAAGTAAACACTTGTCATGTGAGTGTTTGAAAGCATGCAGTGGCTCATCACAGAGTAAGAAGCAGAGTTCTCACAAAATCTTCTGTTGAGGACCTTTGTACTTGCTGTTCCCTGTCTGTACCCCTCGCCCCAAGGCCAGAGCCTCGTGTCCTTCAGGCCTTTGCTTGCTTGTCAGCTCCCCTGACCACCCCGCTTAAAATGCAAATCCCAATCCTCATTTCACTTTATTTTCCCCTCTCAACCCATATAGGGCCTTTTTGTTGATTTGGTCTGCTTGTCTTCTCGCCCCCCGGCAGGTAAGCTGTACCAGGGCAGAGCTTTTTGTCTGTTTCGTTGGCTGCTGTATCATCAGTGCCTAGAACAGTGCCTGGCACACAGAAGGGCCTCCAATATGTTGAACAGATAGATGAATTCGTGACCCTAATCTGCCAGTTGACTTGCTGTCTAGATCTTGCAGATTCATCCCTGGCTATTAGGTATGGGGTACACAGGTGTTTGACCTCTTGTTTCAGCATTGTTCTTGAGACAGGGCCTGATTTATAGTTGTTTTCATTTAAAACAGCTTAGAGTTCTAGTTTAACTTAGAGGATGAAAGCTCTCTAAAAGACAAGGTCAAATTCTGCAAGGACTTCATGGTTTAATATGGCTTTTGTAACAGGGGCTTCTTGTTATGGGCTGAATGGTGTCCCCCCTGCCCCAAAGATATGTTGAAGTCTTAAGCACTGGCACCTCAGAATATGACCCCATTTGGGGTTTTGCAATGTAATTAGTTAAGATGAGGTCATACTGGAGAGGGGTGGGCGCTTAATCCAGTATGACTGGTGTCCTTGTAAGAAGAAAGTTTGGATGCAGGCAGACACAGAGGAGAAGGCCATGTGAAGATGGAGACGGAGACGGGAGTGATGCTGCCACAAGTCAAGGATCTCCTGCAGCTACCAGAACCGGAAGAGGCAAGGAAGGATCCGCCCCAGGAGGCTTTGGAGGGAGCATGGCCATGCCGAAATCTGGATTTCAGACTTTTAGTGTCCAGAACGGTAAGAGAAAAAATTTCTTATAAGCCATCCAGTTTGTGGTACTTGGTTATGGCAGCCCTGGGAAAATTAAAAGACTACCCAGTAAACATTAGCTCCGTTTCCAAACTTTTTACACGTATGCCTTCGTGTTCCTGCACCCACAAAATGCAGCTCTGTGGGAACAGGGTGAACATTTTGTTAGAACAAGGGAGGGGAGGAAAGAGAGGGCTCTTATTTCCTTATTTGGTCATGACCTTGACTGAATCAGGAGAGGGACCCAGGAGTAAGCTCCCTACAAAAACAGGCTGGTTTGCTCCGGCTGCCTGCTGAGAAGTTCCTAACCACCCGCTGTGCCTTTGAGACACTCAGCTCTTGGAGGACAGAGCCTCCTCTGGCTCAAGAATGGAAAAGAAAAGTGGGAGTTCCTTCAGGCTGCCAAACAACAAGCCATTACAACAAGCCAGGTGACAGGCATCCAAGTTGGCCAAGCTGGCAGGACTGGGAACTGTCAGTGGGGCCTGCAGAACAATAATCATTTCCATTGTGAAGACCAGCTGCTGGTAGACTTATTGCAATAGGAACAGCCTCTTGGATGCGGAGGGTGGGGTGGAGGGTGAATGGAGCGAGGCGCCTTCTTGCAGAGCCCCAAGCCTCCATCTGTCACTGATGCCAGCACGTGACAGTGGCCAGGGGCCACTTATCTACCCTGGTTATTCTCACTCCCACCTCCCTCCTTCTACTCTGGCATTCTCTCCCAGAATGCCCTCTTGCCCTCATTTATTTAAATCCTGTCCCTCCTTCAAGTCCCAGCAAATACCATTAACCCTTCCCTGCCAAGATCAACCCAAACTCATCTCCTTATTCTCCCATTTTCCGTGATGGTCTAGACAGAGCGCCTTTGCCACTGGATGTGGTCCACAGGCCAGCAGCATTGGCATCACCTAGAAGCTTGTTAGTAGCGCAGATTCTAGGCCTTATGCTAGACCTACGGACTCAGAATTTACATTTTCATGAGCTCCCCACGTGCTTCGGCTGGACACTAAGGTGTAGGGAGCAAGGTGTAAGGTGGTCTGTTTTGCTGGTTCTCAGAGTGTGGTTTCTGGACCAGCAGTGCCAGCATAACCTAAGAACTTGTCAGTACGTAACATCTGGGCCCCAGCCCAGACCCGCTGAACCTGACTCCCTGGGAGTAGGGCCCAGCCTTCTCCAGGGGGCTCTGATGCACACTCGAATTTGCGAACTGCTCGTCTGTATCATTCAGTCCAGCATCTAATTATGCTCTTTCCCTTCCTGTGTGTTTGTCATTCCCCTCAAGCTGGGGACACTCAGGACAGGAGCAGTGTTTGTACGTCTCTCTGGCACTTAGCCCAGGTAGGTCTAAGCATGGGATGACTGATGTCCAGAGTAACCGACCAGTGTCTCTATTCAAGCGTGTGGGGACTGGAGAGGAGGCCAGAGGGTGAAAGGGAAGATGCAGGGAGATTTCCCTTTGTTCTCCTGAGTTTCTCTAGGATTTTAGTTTGCGGGGGGAGGGCATTAAGCTTCTTCTCTCAAATTGGAGACCAAATGGATACCATGTAATTGTGCATAATGGGTTAATAACACATCAGGGCCTGACTGGATCCAGAATTCTACTTCCAACAGTTTTATGTGGGTTTTCCTCCCTGGAAAAAGTCATTGCCATTGAGCAAGTGGAACAATGCTGGCTGAAGGCTCCTTTCCCTGGATCAATTAAGTCCCTCATCTGGGCAAGTGGCGGTGGCTAGCTCTTCTGGCACACAGTATCAGCGAGAAGGATTTTCAGACATGACTAATGTATAGCCTTCTTGGGCTCCCTACTCCTGGGCTCTCATAAAACACTGCTGTGTCCCATCACCGTCAATTACCACCACAGCCAGCAGTCCCGGGTGGGAGCAGAATGTCCCAGAATGTTTCCTTAAGTGCTCTTCCTCCTCAGGCTGGCTGCTGGCTTTCAAATTTCTAGACATAATTCCTTTTGAATTGCCTAATGGGCCTATCATTTTTTTTTTTTTTTTTTTTGCGGTACGCGGGCCTCTCACTGTCGTGGCCTTTCCCGTCGCGGAGCACAGGCTCCGGACGCGCAGGCTCAGCAGCCATGGCTCACGGGCCCAGCCGCTCGGCGGCATGTGGGATCTTCCCGGACCGGGGCACGAACCCACGTCCCCTGCATTGGCAGCAACGGCAGGCGGACTCTCAACCACTGCGCCACCAGGGAAGCCCTCTCCCTCTTTTTGTCCCCAGGCAACAGGCATCTTGGCAGGAGCCATCCTGGCACCACAGGGCCTGAGCCTGGCCTGGCCTGGCCTGCCAGGCGCCCATCAGCTGGGCAAGAAGATCCCTGCTTTGGGGTGGAGGTGGGAGAGGGTCCATGGCCCCAAGCTGGCTGCTTCTCCGCCAACCCCTGTCAGGCTGCAGTTCACTGTGGAGCACTGGCCACCTGGTTCTGCTTCAGCCCAGACTGAGAGGATGACAAACAGGAAGACTAGTGGCTCAGCCACCGAGGAAGCCAATCCCTGCCATTTCCACCTTAGGACAAATTTAGGTGCAAGGATCAAAAACTTATTCAGATTCAACTCATGTCAAAAGGGACTTTATTTTAAGGATACAAGTTTCATGGGATCCAAGAATGAGCTTCACATGCGCTCTTGGGGAGGAGGGAGGATGGGAGTGGCCACCCCTTGCCAGCTGCCCCCAGTCTTGAGGGCCCAAGGAAATAGCACTGGGCTTTGAACCAACTGGTAGTGTAGACTGGCATATTTAGGGGGGATGCTGGGCTTCTCTGGGAAGCCCAGTATATAGGGCTTACAGAGAGTGTAAGCTGTGTCCTCCAACCAGTGACTTAGAATTAGGACAATTTATTCAACCCTCCGCTGCTCTGCCACATCTTTGGGGAAGACGTGGGTTGCTGCTGCGGCCCAGGGAAGACTTTATGGCCAGGAGGAAACCAGAGAAACACAGACTCTGAAACCCAGGCTACTCCCAGGAGAGGAAGGAAGGGAAGGGAGGCCATGTCCCAGCTGTGCAGTTTGGTTCTTTATCCCACTAAGAAGGGGAATCACTTTACCCCAGGTTGGGGAGGAGGGGGTAAGGGGATGGAGAAATGTTGTGTGTCACTGCTATTAGAGCTCTTCCCACACGGAAGGAGGCATCAGGAGTGGGGAATAAGCCTTTCCTCTCTCTCCCAATAGTCCAGATGCAACAGCCTTGGCTCACGGCCACCATCCACCCTACGGGCACGTTACACCCTCTGCTCTTCAAGTTCAGAGCCCCTTCCCCTTCCAAGAAGGGTTGCCACTTCCTTCCTGAAGACTTTCTCACTCTCCTCGGAGCTGTTGTCCCTTCTCTGAATACTTACGCCCATCAGTTTATACACACTACTTAGGGGCTTTTGCTTTCTAAAGCAGTTCAAGTTTTAGTCAGTGGTTACATGCAAATCCTGTCTTCTTAGGGGCCCTTTAAGGGTCTCCTTTATGTGAGCCAATACTTACACTTAAACTGTGTTCTTCCTTTTCTTTGATGCTCTTGGTGTTTCTAAAATCCTCATAATGAATTGGGGGCCTAAGGTCCTCAGTGGGGAGAAGCCAGCATCTTGAATCAGCGCCTGTGGCCCAGCAGGGGTCCGGCCACCAGCAGGGACTCTGCGGCCAGGGCTGTTTATCACCAAAGCCAAGAACTACACTCCACTCACACCACCCTGGCCGTTATAGCTAGCCAACCCATAACATTCATCTAGGTTAACAGGACGGACCTCCCATTTTTACAGTGAGAAACATTGCCCACCTGAGACCATTACGGGGGCCAGGAAGGGGAGAATGGGCCGAGCTGAGGGCTCAGTCCATTACGGCATGTTCTGGAGAGGAGACAAGCTCCATAACTGGGCCCAGGGGAAACATTCTTGCCGCCCTCCTCAGAGACTGCTGCAGGACTGGCCAGGAAGGGCTCCACAACTGTAGGCCTACATCTGAGGCCATTAGATCACACGTGGAGGAAGAAAGAGCCATGCCAAAGATGACCTCCAAAGTCAGACTGTGTTCCGTGAACTCCCACAGTGGGGTTAATACTGGTCCCCGGGGGTGAAGACAGTCACGTGGTCATCACTGGAAAACACTCTTACCTGGAGAAGTGGGCAACTGGGCCTCACACGTGCTGCTATGGAGACCACAACTGCTCCTAACAGGTTAGGACATGTGAGAAAGTGGGGACAGACCGACTGGAGCTGTTGAAAATGCTTGTGGAGAACTTAGTTACTGAGCAGCTTTTCTCCTCCACAAAAGGACTCTGCAGGTGGTGATTATCCTTGTCTCTAATGTTTTTTCTTTGCCGACAGGAAACCAGACAACCGGGATGAGGTCATTCATCTCATGTCATAAAACACATTCTAAGGTAACAAACTTGGAGGGCCCCTGCCGTGGCATGCTGAGAATTCTCCCTGTTTTAAGGAAGGGTGCAAGATCCCTGAACTGGAACACCAGTGTCAGGGCAGCGGGGGCTGACACGCCCTTGGTTAAGGGCGTTTGGAATTTGAAACCTGCTGACATTTATGGAGTGACTTACAGGTCATCCTGGATAGTGCGGGCACGGTGGCTACCTCTGTGACGAGGAAGCAGAGAGCCGGGCAGAACCACAGCCGGGAACTTTGGGTGCCACCCTCTGAGGAGGAAGAAGGTAGGGTCGCAGGTGACATGTGTTCGGAGGGTCCCTCTCAGATCTTGACTTTCTGGCCCCATAGAAACTTGCGTCCATCGACATCTGCCTACAGCCCTTTCCGGCCCCTTGTTACACACGAGGAAGCCTGCGTGGGGCTGGAGGGAACTGCTAGGAAGTCAGGGGAAGATCCTGACTGAGAATCCAGGCCATAAGGTTAAGTACACTTTCCTGGCCCAAGTTCAAGGTGCGTGCAGAGAGGGGACGTCACCGAGGCAGGGAAAACTAAGGTTTCTTGGCTCATGTGGACTTTCTTCCAGGACTACCTTCTTCTAGAAGGATAACCAGACTTGTTAAACGTCTCATAAAATGCCTGAAAATGAGCATAGCCAGACACTAGAAAAGCCTGGTGGGTGAGGGCCAGGTGGTTTGGGCCAGAGTCTTTAGAACTCACACAGATCTGTAGGCAAAGCCTCTTCCTTGGGCTGAGTGAACAAAATGGGCCCGGCTGAGACGGAGCTGTGATTCGCAGCGTGCTGTTCAGAGAGCTCGACAGAAAGGCGAGTTTGTGGGTTGGTCAGGCCTTGAGGCAGTCGTCAGAAGGTCAGGCTCATCTTGGGCAACGGAGGGGAAAGATGAAGCTGTTCGTGGGCAGAAGTTGTCTGAGGGCACTCGCCCTTTACAGTGATGTTTCACTGTGTTCCAGCGTCAAATCCCGCTGACACTGACACCCAGCACTTGGAGTAATTCTGCTGTGATATCCACCAAGCACATCAGTTCCATCTCAAAGGACCCCCGACTCACGGTGGTCATTTTCCCAATGTAGAGCTCAGTGAAGGATTCATCTTAGGAGGGGAAGCATTTGGTGAACTCAGGGAGAATTTTCTCCTCTGCCCTCCTTCCCCCAGAATACACCCTGGAATAGCCTCAACTTTAGCCATCCTTGTCTGCATCTCCAGTGTCTGTCTGCCCCCTCGTAGGCCCTACTGCGTGAGAATGCCAAGCCTAGAGCAACCAGGTAGAAATACTTAAGGAAAGTTCTCCCTCGGTCCCCCACTGACCTCTAATCTGGGTCTGCAACGCCACTGAGCCATCTCCTGGTGGCAGAACAGCTTTCTCCTTGGCCTGTCCCCACGCCTGCCCACTTGGGTTAGTGTTTCTTTACCCAAGTAGCAGCAGAATAGCATTGACCTAGGATGAGTGGACAAATATTAGAATTTACTCATTTTCACATACATTTTAGGAGTTGACTGTCAAGCCTGAATGCTACCAGAGGCAAAGATCATGGGTCTTGCCTTCAAGGAAATCCATTTAGAAAGGAAATGAAGGACAAACAATAAGGGACAAATGACCATACAAGGCAGAATATAATTATGACTCTGATCATAAGAATTTAAAGGAAGGAGGATTGGGGGAGAGGGAAGGGAGAACCAGAAAGGCTTTGTGGAAGAGGCAGCATTTGAAATGCGCTCTGAAGCCTGAGAACTCACATAGGAAGAGATGGGATAATTTTCACGAAGGTGTGGAAGTGACAGGAGGTGTGTTTGAGCTGTGACCCTCTCAGTCATCTTCCACAGAGGCAGGGAGAAATCAGTGAGTCTGGAAAGGGATTCCACCACGGCAGACGCTGAAGGTCATCTTCCACAGAGGCAGGGAGAAATCAGTGAGTCTGGAAAGGGAGTCCACCACGGCAGACGCTGAAGGTCATCTCCCACAGAGGCAGGGAGAAATCAGTGAGTCTGGAAAGGGAGTCCACCACGGCAGACGCTGAAGGTCATCTTCCACAGAGGCAGGGAGAAATCAGTGAGTCTGGAAAGGGATTCCACCACGGCAGACGCTGAAGGTCATCTTCCACAGAGGCAGGGAGAAATCAGTGAGTCTGGAAAGGGAGTCCACCACGGCAGACGCTGAAGGTCATCTTCCACAGAGACAGGGAGAAATCAGTGAGTCTGGAAAGGGATTCCACCAAGGCAGACGCTGAAGGTCATCTTCCACAGAGGCAGGGAGAAATCAGTGAGTCTGGAAAGGGAGTCCACCACGGCAGACGCTGAAGGTCATCTTCCACAGAGACAGGGAGAAATCAGTGAGTCTGGAAAGGGATTCCACCAAGGCAGACGCTGAAGGTCATCTTCCACAGAGGCAGGGAGAAATCAGTGAGTCTGGAAAGGGAGTCCACCACGGCAGACGCTGAAGGTCTGCTTTTCTCAGGACGGACGCAGATGCTGTGGCCTTAGATTCGAGCCAGCAGGAGGCCTAAGACGGGGCTGGAAGGTGGAATGAGGCAGGCAGAGATCACGGGGAAGACAGGACACAAGGCGGCTGGAGGCCAAGGAGCCCTCGTGAAGCACTGAGCAGGGGGCCACGTGACTGGAGAGCCCAGAGGCCTGGCTACTCACGAATGAAGTCTGAAGAGGGGTGAACACACTCTGTGAGAGGTTTCTGGAGCCTTCTTCAGAGCCACCTCAAACTGGGCTTGCATCCTCTGCAGGGAAAGGTTCTGGGACTCACCCCACGGCTGGGTTCAGCTTCCTCACCGGAAGAGGCAGATTTGGTAACTCGTGCATGTTGGGCCCTGGACCTCTAGAGTTGTCTGCTAGCCTGGGGGCCTGGGATCTGGAAGCCACTTCTGTCTAGGTCTAGGGGTTAGATGGCAGGAACCCAGGCCTGCAGGTTGGTAGGCTGTATGCAGTCACTACCGCCAGGTGGTGCCCTGCTGTTGCCTGGGGCACAGAGGTGGGGTCAAAGCCGGTGCCCCAACCAGGCCCTTAGACCTGAGGATGTCTCAAGAGAATCTAGGTCCCAACAAGAAAGGCCATTCCTATGGTGGACCCGTGGCCTTGGGCAGACACCCTGCTCTGGAAGATGTAACTGGGTGTGGGTATTGGCTGGGCTGGGTCCTGGGAATGTGTGTGGACCGCACAGTCCCTGCAGTGAAGGTGATGCATGACTGTGGGCCAGGAGGGCCCCTGAGATGCAGAGCCTTGCTCCTCTTTGTGTGTACCTGCCACATAAAGAAGCCTACTTGTTGACAGGTGTCCATGAAGAGAAACTCGCCCACGGTCTCTGAAGCCCAGGCCCCTGAGCAGTGGCTGTGGGTGCACTGGCCGCCCTCCTGGAGGGAGGACCCAAGACTGACCTCATCAGAGCTTGCTTCCAGGAAAGGATCTAGTTCATGGCTGATAAAGCTTAAATACGAAGGGACTGTGTTCCATGTAAATACCGAGTTTTGCTTACATTCACAGAGTGAAGGAATGAATGAAGTAGTTTCAGGCCTGGAGACATGCATTCTGACTGGCGTTCCTCACGCTTCCCAGGCCCTGGTGGCTCACCTCCATGTCGGGGGGGCGGGCAGGGCCCACAGATGGAAGGACAGGCGATGCCGGAAGGCAGCTCTGCTGGGAGGCCCCTCAATTCACTACCTCCCCTGCCCCCGGCCAGGCCAGTCTTACCCTGTTGGTCAGGGTGGTGGGGTGGGGGACAGGAGGTTGCTCTGGGGACATGGGGCCATAAGAAGCCGCAAGAGCTCTTCCCCTCCCACCAATAAGTGCTTTTTTAAAAAAATTAACATTTAATTTTATTTATTTTTGGCTGTGTTGGGTCTTCGTTGCTTCATGCCAGCTTTCTCTAGTTGGGGTGAGCACAGGCTACTCTTCGTTGCGGTGTGCGGGCTTCTCATTGTGTGGCTTCTCTTGTTGCAGAGCACAGGGCTCTAGGCGTGCAGCTCAGTAGCTGTGGCGCACTGGGCTCAGTAGTTGTGGCTCGCGGGCTCTAGAGCACAGGCTCAGTAGTTGTGGCGCACAGGCTTAGTTATTCCGCGGCATGTGGGATCTTCCCGGACCAGGGCTCGAACCCGTGTCCCCTGCATTGGCAGGTGGATTCTTAACCACTGCGGATCAGGGAAGTCCCCAGCAATAAGTTCTAAACGGTAGGCTTTGTTTTTCAGAAAGCCCAGGCCAGCCTCATCCAGAAGATTCTGGGGAAGCAGCTTGGGAAGACGCGGTGCAGGGTCAGCTGGAAAAGGCGGGCCCGGCGGCTGCCCCTACGGGAACTCCCCGCGAACACTTCCATTCGATCCTTCACTGACCCGGGGGCAGCGAGAAGTCGGTTTGGGCGTCCCCCGGGCCCGGCCGTGGGGAGAAGGTCCGGAACAGCAAGGACAGCCTGTGGCAGAGAAGCGGGCGGGTGGGGAGGGCGGCGAGGAGCAAGGGGCAGGGGAACTGGGGCCACCTATCCCGGGAGCACGCTGACCTGGGTGGGAGGGCCGCGCAGGCAGGGGCTGCGCGCTTAGCTGGGGTGAGCCGGGTGGGCTGCGCGGGGCGATCGCCGGGGAGAGGAGGGGTGGCCCGGAGGGGCAGGTGTGTGTCGCGTGCCACCGGCCTTGCAGCTCCGGGCGGCCGCCCCCGGGGTGATGCGTCGGGGGAGGCTCCTGGGCTGCAGAGCGACGCCCGCTCCCCGCGCCTGGCTTCCCACGGGAGGGTGAGGGGCGCGTCCTAGGAGGCAAGGGCGTGGCCCGGGAGTCACGGTCATGACATTTTCACCTCTTGGGACCTAAAACCTAGGGACCTCCTTCCATTCATCCTCGCTCAGGACCGTGTGTGTCAACAGCTGTGGACTTCATGGAAGTATGAAGAAATCTCTGCCGATTCACCTTCCAGCTCTGGGAGCCCTTCAAGGCTCTGTCCCAGACGGAGTTCCGCTTCTGGGGCAGTTGGTGTCCTAACGGTTCTTGGATCTACCTCTTAAAAAGGAAAAGCAAAACAAAACAAAACAAAATGAAAAAACCCCAAACAACTATATATCTGTCTATCCATCCATCCATCCTAAAATGCGATTTAAGTATAAAAATGCTTAAAACCGATGCAGTTTATGACATAATTATAAAGCAGACACATCACGCTCTTGATCACCCACAACTAAACACGGCTTGCATCTCTGAAGACTCCCTTCCCTCATCGTCGGTGATCCTGATTTATTCACCTTAGCTGCTTTCCTGGTTTTAAAGTTGCGTTTGTGGCTACAGAGTGTCCATGCAAAACTCTTCCCATTCTCTTGAAAGTGTATGTTGTTTGCAATATTCAGATTTTGTGAATAATGTGAGACAGACATTTGTTTCCAAGGATGATTTCCTTAGGGTGAATTCTCAGCTGTGGAATTTTCAGCCAATGGACATCTTTATTTTCAAGGTTCTTGGAATATATTGCCACGCTTTTTCCCACAAGGAGTTTTGCTAATTTACATACCCACCTACAATTCAATTCAATTTAATTCGTGCCTCCCTTTCTTTCCCTGGGAAGAAATGGCAGGTCCATGTGTAAGTCCCAGTTTCATCACATCCTTGCCAGCGCTGGGTTTGCATTTTCTTAGAATAAACACATCTAAGACTCGTCTTGGTTTGCATCTCTCTGACATTAGGAAGGCAGAGCATCCATGTATGTCTGCTTACTAATTGGAGTATCTTCCAAATTGTATGTAAAAATTGTCCATTTACCTCTTGGGATGTTGATTTTTTTTTTTTTAGCCTACCTGGATGCATTAGAGATATTGAAATAGTTGCCCTTTGACATTTTTGTGTCAGAGTTTTAGAACTGAGTGAGACCTGGAGTTCATTTGGTCCAGAACCCCCCTGCTGCAAATATGCCTAAGACCTAACTCTCAGAACCTATGAATATGACCTTATTTGGAAAAGAATCTTGGCAGGTGTGACTAAGTTAAGGCTCTTGAAATGAAGAGAGCATCCTGGATTATTTGAGTGGACCCTAAATCCAACGATAAGTGTCCTTTTAAGAGAAAAGCAGAGAGAGATTTGAGACAGAGAAGAGGAGAAGGCCATGTGGATGGAGGCTGAGAGGTGGGTCATGAAGCTACAAACTAAGGAGCTTCTGGAACCCCCAAAAGCTGGAAGAGGCAAGGGAGGAACCTCTCCTAGAGCCACTGGAGAAAGCATGGTCCCTACTGACACCTTGATTTCTGACTTCTGAATAAATTTCTGTTGTTTTAAGCCACCAAGTATGTGGTCCTTCGCTCCAGGAGCCTCAGGAAACTAACACACCCCTCCGTTTACAGGTGATGAGTATGAGTGGGGACAGGGCTTGCTGAGGGTCGGGATCTTGTCTCCCAGGCTAGAGACCATGTGGGGCGTTTGCCCCCAGGTGCCCCCGTGGTGGAGGACTCGGCCTTCCTAGGGAAACCTAAGGTTGCAGGAAATGGAGTTGGTGAAGTTGTCTCACCTATTAGCTCAGAATTGAGCATGCGAGGACCTGGGCTCCAGTGCTGGCTCTGCCACTTACTGCCTCTGTGGTCTGGACCAGTCACTCTTCTGTGTGGGCCTCCATTGCTGCACAGCTGTCTGAGTAGCAGCGTGGCAGCTGGATGGCACCTCCTCTCGGATCCCTCAAGTCTGTGAGATGTGCAGACTGGACTTATCCCTCTGATTCTTTACAAGCGTGGACTCTTTGGGGCACTGGCTACTTTCTCAGAAGTTGCACCATATTCCTTTCTATTCTATGGATACCGATCTTGATGCTTTGACTGTTACACATACCCATGGATCGTCAGGAGGGATTTGGGACACACAGCCAGCCCAATAACGTATGAAGGTAAAAAACACTGAGTTCCCAGGCAGAGCAAGAAGAAAAGACATGGACTTCAAAGGGCTGTGTCTCTGGGTATGGATTCATTTAAGAATTACTTGGGACTTCCCTGGCGGTCCAGTGGTTAGGACTCCAGGCTTCCAGTGCAGGGTGCACAGGTTCGATCTCTGGTCGGGGAACTAAGATCCCTCAAGCTGCGTGGCCAAAAAGAAAAAGAAAAAAAAAAAAAAGAATTACTCAAAGGATCTAGAGCTGTGTTGCCCAACTTGGTAGACTAGCATTGTGGCTGAACACCTGAAGTGTCACTGCTGCTGCTGAAGAAATGTTTATTTAATTTTCTTTGAATTAACTTAAATTTTTAAAATACTCAGTTCAGTTGTTGGAAAAATTTAAAAGATGTTTGGAACAACAGATTCACAGATCAAGTACTTTTGATGAAAATTTAGTGTCCAAATTGAAATGTGCTGTGTTAAATATATACCAGATTTTGAAAACTTAGTACCAATAAAATAATGTAAAACATCTCATGAATTATATTTCATGTTGACTGTGGGTCGAAAAGATAACATATTTGGATAGATTAGGTCAAGTTAAATACACTTAAATTTAATTACATCTGCTTCTGCCACTTACTGGCACTGGGCAGCTGTTTTGCTTTATCTAAAATCACTGAGTTGAAAGACCCTCTGTGCTCACCCCACATTTCGGCCAGCTTTGAGGTCGGAGGGCTGTTACTGACATTTGGTGTGGGTGTGGGATGGTCTCCAGTAACACAGGGAGGCTGGACTTGGGCAGGGGCAGAACCCCCAGCCCAACAGGAATACCCCTCTCCCACCTCCATCAGAAGGGGCTTCCCGGATGGAATGCAGGACGGGATCAATGTGGACTTGACCCTGAGGCAGTCAGGGAGTGGTCTTGGGCCTCGTGTTGGGTGGGAGTGCGCGATCAGGGCTGGGTGGGGTCTGTGGCTGAGAGGCTCTGCGGAAGGGCAGAGGAAGTAGATGCCTTCTCTGATCTTCCATTACTTAATTCCATACTGAGCTGTCTTCGACACGTGCCGTAGAGCTGAGGCTAAAAGAAGAACCCTTATTTTATTTTCATGTTATATATATATTTAAAAGAACACTTATTTTAAATACTAAGAGCACCTGTTATGGGAAAGGTACAGTGTGGGGTGCTTTCCATATACTGTATCATCGAATCTTCTTGGTAACCCTGTGAGGCAAGTTCTTTTAAAAGCCTATTTTAGATCAGAGGAAATGGGCTTTTAGGAGTTAAGGGACTTGCCCAAGACCACAGAGCTGGTTAAGGGCAGAGGCAGGATTTGAACCCAGCTCTGCCTGACGCCAACAAGGCTCAGGGTCTTGAAAGTAAGTGGCTCACAACGACCCAGAGGGCATATGAGCTGCAAATGCCCTCAGAGGTGCTTTGCTGTATCCCCTTTGCGCCCAGACTTCAGGGATGGGATGTGCGAGTCCCGGTGGGGATGAGGGCTTCCCGGGTCCTGGTGCAGAGCCAGGCCTGGAGCCTCGGTCGCCGCTGAGTTCCCCCTGCTCCCTTACTCCAGGTCTGCTGGGAGGTGCCTGGGAGCCCTGCTGCGGGTGTCCCTTGGGGAACAGAACCCTGTTAGAGGGTCAGCTCAACTGTCCACAGCTGGCACGAGTGGTCTGAATAGGAGGGCTCAGCTGCCCCACTCTTGTGCCTGGTTTTGTTCTTTTAAATATTTGTGTAGGCGGTCAGGTGGCCCTGTGAAGGTGAAGGAGACCTTGCTGTCCCTCCTAGGACTTGGCGTCTCAACGTGGAATCCGGAGGATGTGGGACGCAAATCTGGCAGAGCCGCTTGGGTAAACATGGTGGGGCGGCTTCCCTCTCTCCTGTCCAGCCACTGGGCCTGAGCATGCCATTTTCTAAATGACCACTGGGTGTCGCCCTCGCTCCGCAAGTGGGTCTTCCCTCCTGCAGTCTAAGGCT